ATTTTAACCTTATTATGTTATTTTATGGAACAACTAAATACTCAATTAAATTATCATTAATACAGACGATGTGGAAGTGTCAAAACGGTTTGGCATCGATTACCACGAGTTACCCACATTGGTTTACTTTGAGAATAAGATTCCAAATTTTTACCAAGGTAGTTATCACACTATTCAACACATCATACATGTCCACATTTATCGGACAAAAACTTAACTATATTTTACCTAAAATAAGGTGATTTGATGGTCGAGGAGGAAGTGCTCAAATGGCTGATCCATCAGAAGAGCGCCGACGAAATCGAGGACGTGTCGGACGTAGTGTTGGACAATATGATCGACTCGTCCAGCTTTTTGGCCGTATTATTCTGTATGAGACAATACATTATGTTATTTTATTTACATAACAATTGTTATACAATATAATAACATAAGATATTTAAAATTAACAATTTTAACACATCTCTCTCTCTCTCTCTCTCTCTCTCTCTCTCTCTCTCTCTGTCTGTCTCTCTCTCACTCACTCATTCACACACTCACTCACACCCTTCACATCAACGGTGGCCACAGACGATAGGGACGATCCGAAATCGCAGGAAGTGCTGAAGGAATTGGAGAACATCGACGACGAGTGCGACGAGAAGGGCATACTATTCGTGAAGATCGACGACGACTCGGTGGCCAAAGGGTACGGCATCGACGACGAGTTGCCCACCCTGGTCTACTTTGAGAACCGCATCCCCTCGGTGTACCAAGGTGATCTCACCAATGAGGACCGGGTGCTCGAGTGGCTCGTCCGACAGACACAGACCGACGAGATCGAGGAGGTGTCCCACGAAATGCTCGACTCACTCATCGAAAGGCATAATTATGTCGCTGTTTTGATGTATAAACCGAAGGACAAGAATAGCGATAAATTGTTAAAAGAGCTTGGTAAGTTTATATGACAATAGGATTGCTAGAGCTAGGTAACTAGAGTTAGAGCTAGAGCTAGGTAACTAGAGTTAGAGCTAGAGCTAGGCACTTACACTACACTCATCTCATAGTTTAATAGTATATTTAGAGTTTAAATCGTTTTTAACGTGTAATTACTATTAAATCCTTAAACAAACAAAAAATAGTCAAAACTCGTAATAATCAGGTAAATTATGAGAATTAAAATTGCTTAGGTAGAAGTATAATGATTCTGACTAGGGTTAGCACAGGGGTATATACCGTTTGGGTGGAATGCTATTTACCACGTTATAAACATATAATTATGATATTTATTGTTCAAACCTCAGAGCATATCGACGACGACTGCGACGAGAAGGGCATTGTCTTCCTGAAGACCGACGACAAGGAGGCGGCCGACAAGTATGGCATCAAAAAACTGCCGGCAATACTATTCTTCCGCTTTCAAGTGCCCACACAATACCCCCCGTCGGCCGACATCATGAACGAGGAGGCAGTGCTCAAGTGGTTTGTCGGCCAACAGGAGACCGAAGAGATAGAGCCCGTCAACTCACGTACCCTCCGGTCACTGGTGGACAACTCCCCGTCGGTGGCCGTACTCTTCTACGACCCGTCCGGTATGTGTCTAATCGTTGTTTATGTTATAGTAGTATAATTTTACCATGATTATTTACGATAGACGTTTACGATTACATGACATATACCATGCATTTTAAATTATTTTTGTACATTAATATGGATTTTAAACTAAATACCCATGATACCTATCTGTAAACAGTTTAGCATGAAAATATTTAATAATTATTGTGTACTATTAATACTTCTAGTTACTATTGAATTTAAGAATTTTAATCAACCAATATTAGTAACAATTAATTATTTTAATCATTTAATAAAGCAATAGATTTGAGTTAAATTATTTGCATATAATTTTAACACAAATTTTTTGCTTATTAAACATTGTTTATAATAAAAATAATGATAAAAATAGAAAATTTTTGCAGTCGCTATGAGTCCAATATAATAGAATGTTTAACCATATTCATGGATATATAAAAAATCTAGATTATATCATTACAGTTGGTAAATTCATATTGGTAAATTTTACTATAATAGAAATAATATTTCATCCATGGCACTTTCCGATATAAATACACACTATTAACTTGATTAGTGACTACACTATATAGCGAGGGTGCCCAGTAGATTGGCCCTGATCACTTTACATAAATTGTACCTTAATTTCCCGTAATATCCACGCCATTAGGCAAGACCTCTAGCGCTGTGCTGAAAGACCTGGAGGAGATCGACGACGACGCCGACCGATACGACATACCATTCGTAAAGTGCGACGACTTGGCGGTGGCCAAGGAGTTCGGGTTGGCCGACGAGTTGCCCCGATTGGTATACTTCGAGAACCGGTTGCCCACCGTCTACGAGGAGGACCTGACCGACGAGCAGCGAGTGCTCGAGTGGCTCATCAAACAGAAAACGGAGGACACCGTCGAAGAGGTGACCGACGAGATACTCGAGGAACTGATCCGCGAACGGGAGTACGTGTTGGTGTGGTTCGCGCCCGACTCGTGCAAAGAGTGCGCCGATATATTGCATCGGGTGTTGGAGACCATCGATGACGATACCGACGAACACGGGATACTACTGGTCACCACCGATGACCAGGGAATTGCCAAATCCCGGGCCAAAGTGACCAAATTTCCAGCTTTAGTGCTGTTCCGCAACGGAGAGCCCGTCACATATAGGGGTGATATGAAGAAACCCGAGGCCATACTCAAGTGGGTCACAGCCGAGGAGACACTGGACTCGCCCGACACCATAGAAGTGGTGAACGCGCGGATGTTGGCCAAGATGTTAGAGTCGAGTCCGTATGTGGCGGTGCTCTTCACGAAAGACCGGTGCGGCGAATGCGATAAAGTGCTCGTCGAGTTGGAACGAGTTGAGTATTAGCTAGAATCTAGATGTTTGCTTTTTAGATGTTTGTATATTAGGGGGATAAGGTTTAAATCTACATAGTTAACAGTGTTTTTTCTTCAGTGTACAAAATTATTATTTCAACCTAGAATTAAATTATGATGGTAACAGTAATAAATTATTACTAATAATAATAATCGACATTATGTTGAAAACTAGAACCAACATATCAATATTTTTAGACTTATTTAAAGGTGTTTAAATGCGTTAAAACATAGAATTACAGTTTATAAATATTATTTATAGATTTATCTATATAATAATTAAATGTGTGTTAACTTTAAAAGTAATTTAATTGATTTATGATGTCATCATCATTAGTCTTAAAGGGACAAAAGTATTTATCAGTATAAACGATCATTGTAACCACAAAAGTAAAGTTATAAGGATTAATATTTTTGCATCGATAATGATAAAAATAGAAATTACTGCAAACACAATCAACCCAATATAATAGGCTGTTTAGACATATTCATGGATGTATAATAAATCTAGATTAAATAATTACAGTTGTTAAATTTTATTTATCGGTTATACTAATAAAATAATAATAATAATAATAATGATTGGTAGTAAATCGCAACAACAATAAGACAAAACATCAAATTCCAATATAGTCATATTTTTAGACATATATAAAGGTGTATAAATGTGTTAAAGCATAGAATTACAGTTTATAAATATCATTCATAGATTACTCTATATAGTAATTAATGATTAAATGTGTGTTAACTATAAAATTAATTAATTTGATTAATTATGTCTTAGAGAAAATTATTTTACCGCAGTTTATAATGAAGTAAAATACTTATAAAACGCAATCTTTAAACGGTAAAATTTTTAAAAACTAGTAATAAAATAATATATGAACAGCTATCTATATTTATTATTGTAGAAGGGCAAAAGTATTTATCAGTATAAAGTTTCCCAAAAATAAAAGTGTTAGGATAAATATTTTTTCAACGATAATTATAAAAATAGAAATTTATAAATTTAAATGTAGGTCAAAGTAGTCCAATATAATGGGATGTTTAGACATATTCATGGATGTATAATAAATCTAGATTATATAATTACAGTTGATAAATTCATATTGGTAAATTTTACTACAATAGAAATAATATTTCATCCATGGCACTTTCCGATATAAATACACACTATTAACTTGATTAGTAACTACACTATATATCGGGTGCCCAGTAGATTCACCCTAATCACTTCTAAAATAAAAATACTATAACCCGTATGAGTAACCATAGTAACAATTCTATCGGTTGTACCCAATAGATCGACCACTTGGCCGAGAAGGAGGACATTGACTTTGTGAAGGTGAGGGACCCGGCGGTGGCCGTCGAGTACAACGTGGAGGCCTTCCCGGCGCTGATGTACGTCAGGCATCGGTTTCCCCAGTTCTACGAGGGATCGCTCCGGGATGAGGACGCAGTGCTCCAGTGGCTCATCGATAATAAGGTGGCCAAAGAGGACGTGATAGAGCCCGTGGATAGACGGATGCTGGAGGTGCTGATGGGCGACGTCGAGCATCTGGTCGTGTTTTTCTATGATGGAGACGACTGTC